ACCTCCCAAATTCACTCTCCCTCTCTCAACTCCGAAACAAGACTCTAAAAACACAAATCTGATCCTATCTTCAAGTCCAAAAACCATTGAATTTCAATTTTAATTTCTATAATCTCCCATATGTAATGCATCAGAAGAAATCAGAAATCCAAATCGGAAAAGAAAGCACCGGCATCTCTTCCGATTTCTCAACTACGCTAAACCCGCAACTTCGCACCGGCATCCCTTCCGATTTCTCAACCACGTTAAACCCGCAATTACTGTTCCTCCACCACTTCCAACAACAGAATGACCCGATTACCCCTCCTTCTTCCAGTTCCTCACCAACTCCTTACAAAAGACCTCTCTTAACGACGACGACCCATCATAGCCAAACCCCTCATCGTTCCAATTCACTCTTTAAATCCCCTACCATTTACCATTTTGCTACCACCCATCAACACCAATCTTTCTTTTCTGTTACTACTGCCGTTAAAGCCGCTGCCTTTCGTTTTTTCCGCCGCCGCTTGGCTCGCCTGAAAGTGCACCTACGCTTGATTCTCTTGCTCTCGCTTCCCTTCTTTTATTTCTTGGTTTCGCACCCGAGCCATTGGTTTTTGCTTGATTTTTTGTCTGCTTTTGCATTTTCTGCTGCTTTGTTATTGTCTCTGAATTTAGCTCTGCCTAGATTGCCTTCAATTCGGCTGTTTTTATCGCGGTCATTTGCAATCAATAAGCTTAGGAATTCAGCATCTAGATCGCCTATACCGGTGTTCTGGTCAATAGGGTCGAGGTCGAAACCGGAGAAAAGGGCGACTTCTGGTTGCTTTGTTCAGGTTTATAGTAACGGGGACGTCTATGAAGGTGAATTTCACAAGGGAAAGTTTTCAGGAAGTGGGGTTTATTATTATTACATGAGTGGAAGATATGAAGGTGATTGGGTTGATGGGAAATATGATGGCTATGGAGTGGAAACTTGGGCTAGAGGGAGTCGATATCGAGGGCAATATAGGCAAGGACTCAGACATGGATTTGGTGTGTATAGGTTTTATACCGGAGATGTTTATGCTGGTGAATGGTCTAATGGACAAACTCATGGCTGTGGAGTTCATACTTGTGAGGATGGGAGTCGGTATGTTGGTGAATTCAAGTGGGGTGTCAAGCACGGACTTGGGCATTACCATTTCAGGTAATTTTGAAGAACTTTTGTTTTTGGATTTTTTTTTGTGAAGTGATATTGGCCTGATTTGAGAGCAGTGGATTTTGCTCTATTGTGTTTGGTTTTCTAGTTGCAAGATTGTGGAATTTGTGAAAAGATGGTTTTAGCTGATTTAGATATCTACAGAAATACTATTGGGAAACCTATTTCAATGGAGGATTTACCTTGATTGAGTTTTTACTAGATGGAATGAATTGGGAAACCAGGCATAAAGAAATGGAACTTAACGGACTGCTAATATGGAACCAACCATCCTCAATAATTAGTTCGAGTGCAAAAGCAAGTGCTTATAATAATATTCTAAGAAGAAAACAATGCAGATTGAAATGACAAATTCTAGATGGAGCAAATGAGAAAGAATTGTTCAAAAAGAGAAATCACTTTAAATTTGAGAAATACTCTTCATTTGCTGTCATTCGGTTGAGTCATTTTTATTATTCGTGTGAATTTGTGTAATTTTCGTCATTCAAACTAGAATATAGAAACTAGAATATAGAATCAGGCCTTAAAAAGAAAAGATTTTACAACGGTAGGAAGCTTTTCAATTTTCAAAATATACATTCGATAGAGTTTGGTGTTACTAAGCATTGACTGGATGATCACTTGTAGCATAAATTCCCTTAAGCTTGTCGATGCAGAACTGAAATAACACCTCCATGCAGTCTTAACAACTTCTACTTGTATGTTTAGTCATGAATGCTGCGCAATCTGGGAATCATGTAGGTTGGCTCAAACTTGCTCAATCTACAAGGAATCTAGGTTGATTTTTCTTTTAATTTATTACTGTTCTTCATTACAAATTGTACACATTTTGTTGGACTTGGGTTATAAGGCCTATCAAACTTTTAAGCCTGGACACATAGGATGATGGATTCCTCAGTTTTTTAAAAATTTTATGGCTATGTCTAGCATTATATTTTTATAGTTTTCTTGCCTGTTGTGTGTGCACTTGCACACACTTGTGTTTGAATTCCGTGTATCTTTTTATAAACCATGGAGTCTGTTAAAGGTTCATGGACTTGTCAGATTCCATCCTCGTGAGGTCTCTTAGGGTAGAAAAGATGTAAAAACTGCATTATTGTTTATCATATATCATGCTTTTTATGGATCATTTTTTCTATCAGGGGTAACAGGACAAGAAATCTTTTCCTTTGGGAGTGATATTTCTTTGTGGTGTCTTACTTTCAGTAGTAAGGATAATGTTTCCTGTAGGATTCAATTAGTAATGATGTTTGCTGTTACTCTGATGTCTTCTCCAGCTGAATTTTTTTGGACTATCTGAGTATAAAGTTATCTGTTTGTATTTGTATTTTCTTTAAAAAATGCTCATGCAATTACCAATGCACTTTAATGGGAGCTTAGATGTTGTTTAGGGTCAGTTATAATTTCGTCTCCTGTTCTATCATCATGCTCCTGACATCCATTCCCCTTGAGCTTATGATGCTTGCTTGTGCTTGTAGTTAGCTTTAGTCAACATGACTAACCGGAATAGGGAATGTTTTTCATGCTTTCTTCACCTGAAAGGTCAGATGGCAAAGCAGTTGATAGGGAACAATAAGGAAAAGAAAATTTGTTAAACATTGCAAAAGATAGTGAATGAATAACAGCTATAGGACCGCCATTGATCATCTTCTTAACTTTGCTTCTGTTGCAATTCCTGTATCCAGGGTTGTTTTCCTGATTTTGACTGATTATTATCAACGTTACTAGTGATCGAGTAGGATTCTGTTGGCATTAGTACTTAAGGGAGCTTGATACTGCTTTAAGCACCTAACAAGAATCTTTCTTGGTTAACATGACCAAAACTTTTAAGGGGCTTTTGACTGTCCAGTCACTCATTAAGTTTTGGAGTTCATATGAAGGGATAAGATGTTAATGGTTTTCAGCTTGTACCGGTTTTCATTTTCACTTTCCTCACAATTATATTAGATAGGATGGAATGGATTATGGGAAATCACATGAATCGGATCATGGATTATTGAGTAATTATGATTTGTTAGTCTTTCTCTATCTGTAATTCAGTGCGTGCTCATTCATGTGTATATTAATAAACTTTTCATTTTATGCTAAAAAGATTTACAGCCTTATTAGCCACCCTGATTATATATTACAGTACAAATGACCCACGCATCTGATTTTTAATTATTTAGGAATGGGGATACATATGCTGGAGAATATTTTGCAGACAAGATGCATGGATTTGGTGTCTATCATTTTGCAAATGGGCATCGGTACGAGGGAGCCTGGCATGAGGGTAGAAGGCAAGGCCTTGGAATGTACACATTCAGAAATGGGGAGACTCAGTCTGGTCACTGGCAAAATGGAATTCTTGATGTCCCAAGCACGCAGAACACCTCTTATCCTGTATCTCCAGTTGCTGTTTATCATTCCAAAGTGCTCAATGCAGTGCAGGTAAACCCTGACTCATTACTCATTGGTTTTATGCAATTTTATTCATATGGAAAGATTTAGCTTTTCTCACTGTTATTTAATGTCTACTTCGCCAACTGCTTTGCAGCCTTTGCATTGCTGGTTAATACTACCATATTGCTTTCATTTTTTTGTTATTATTTTTAATCATCCAAACTCTTCTGTCAATACTTGTGATAAGTGAATTGGATACGAATTATAGTAAGTGTCTTTCAACATGGCATGAAGAACATGAGCAATGTGTAACTATGCTCGTTTACATTTCTTCTAACTTGCTGTTCTTGCATGCAATTAGGAAGCACGGGCAGCATCAGAAAAGGCTTATGATGTTGCAAAAGTTGATGAAAGGGTAAATAGGGCAGTAGCGGCAGCTAACAGGGCAGCTAATGCAGCTAGAGTGGTAGCCGTTAAGGCTGTCCAGAAACAAATGCATCGCAATAATAACAACGGTAACATTCCAATTGTGTGAGACTTCCATACAGAATGATTAAGGCAAATTAACAAAACTGCAGCAAGAGGCTAACAGCTTTGCGGTTCCTTTTCAATAACTTCATAGCTTGTACAGCCATCTTCTCTTCAGCCTATTCTTTCTTTGAGAGGCTGCAACCCGAGATTCAAACATGGGTTCCATGTATGAATAGAGGGAGATGCAGTGGGAGTAGATTGGTTGGTTTTGTAAAGAGAGTTGGATGCATTGTAGAATAAGAAGCTGATGGTGCCTAGGTGAAACCTGAGCCCATCTCGATGTTGTATGCGAACTATGAGCACCTTCAATGAGATGTAATCACGTTCCCTTTTCCATGTTATAGTAATACAGGCATCCGTGTTCCTCTTCTTTTGACTGGATAAAATTGGACAGCAGGCACATGTGGAAATCGACTGGATTGTTTTCAAGTTCAATATTCATATTTTTAATTGTAACCGACCTGCCTGTAGATGAAATCTGATCCTTGCATTCAGGAGGCATTATGGTGACACCAAGTGGAAGGCTAATTTTGTTGAGAAAAATTCTTAACGAATATCGTTCACTTTTGCGATTTTAACCACTAGATTTGAAAAATGGCCGAAACAGACTTAATAAATGCATTTTGATTCTTGCATTCTGCTCCTGTCAGGTGAACAGCAATGAGAAACCCTAGTGTTTCTTAATCCTTGCACACATAGGAAATAAACTTTGCACTTTCCTAGGAAGACAGGATTCTCAGTCAACCTATAAGCTTGTTCAACAAGATCTTTTCCTATTAGTTTACACGATTCATGGAAAGGTACAGTGTGCACCACCATTATTCATCAATGTTCAAGAAGTATCCATTTGATATTTATGAAACTATTTTATCCTTGACACCACCATGAGTAACAGAGCAACACAAAATAGACCACAAGGCAAAGCTGGCTATATATTAAATTGGAAAGGGTCGAGATACAACCATATCAATCTTCTCAAACTGAATTTCCTTTCATCACTTCCATAACTCCTAAACACGATAGAAATGAAACAGATTAAACGTCTCCAATCAAAATGACACCAAGATCCACAAGTCAATAAAACATGACATGATATAAAATACAATTAACTCTCGGTCTGCTCCCTCAGCCTACGGATGGTACTCCTGACTGTCACGGCACTAGCAGTACTGTAACGAATTTGCAATGCAAGCAATTAGAACCCACAGTACAAGTCAAACACAGAAAGAATTTAAATTCACAAGGTGAAGGATGTCTTACTTCAAAGTGTAAGCACCTCCAGCTTTCACTTTGCCACAATCCTTGCAACCCCAGATACCAACAGCCTTCCTCTTAACAGCATACTACAGTGACGAACATTTTACAAAATTAATACCATGCTCATGAAACCAGCAGATTACGTTGAGAAACACAACAGCTATGCAAAGATCAGTAGTACTTTAAACAAAACAGAATGAGTATGGTGGATTGATTACCTTGCCGCAGAACTCACAGAAGAACTTGCTGTGCTGACTGACCTCCATCTTCTTAATCTGCTTCCTCAAACTAGCACCATAACGGGTACCTGCATTGTAGACATGTATTGAGTGCCACGTTTCTAGCTATAATAAACATCCTTGCATGCAGAAGCGCACAGTTTATGTGTGCACACAAACAAGTGTACACCATCCAAATTAAAGTGAGATAGATAAAAGTAAAAGGCATCCATCTTATTTTCCAACTTTTCGGTATTAATCACCATGACCGCTTACAATTTCTAGAGCTAGCTGGCACTATAAAGCATAAAATCATGTGGAAAAACAAACTACAGCGCTATTTGTGATTTTATGTCTTCTTGTTCGTTCATTTTACCGTTAGCACGTAAAAGCACACAAAACAAAACTACGTTAAAAAACACATACCATACTTCCCGACAATACCGGCCTTCTTGGTTCTCTTGGTCTACATGTCAACAAAAGAAAACAAAAAACATGAAGTCAGGCAGTTTTATGTCCAGTGGACAAATCTAAAATAACAGCAGAGTAACAAGAAGTTTCTCCAGATAAAAACCAGTGGAAAATAAACACAGCACTGTTTTTTGGATGAATGGATTCTAAATACAGGGTGAGACTCAGATTTATACAGATAAAAAATTTACAGACGAAATATAAAGCTGCGATCTCATAGAATTTGAAGTTATGCAGGATAATAAAGAAAACCCGCAAAGAGTTATTGAGAAAAAATGAAGAGAGTACCATTTTCGGTAGCTTTGAAGAGCAGAAACCCTAGAATTCTCTTTTATGGGAGCGGCGAAAGAGACAAAGCCGGTCTAGTCTCTTTACTTGACTTAATTTATAGCGACCAGATTATATATCGCCTCGGATTTTTTATTCTTCGGCCTCTTACTTATGTGGGCTGTTTGGGCCTTGTCAGAGCCCAATTATATGAATTTTTAAAATAAAAATTAAAAATAATTATTATAATGAATAGTATTTTGTGATATGCATGACAAAAATACTATTTTTTAGTTTTTTTAAATTAATTTAAAATTAAATTATGTCAAGTCTAGATTAAATTCAACTGGATAAAATTATTGTTTAACGGGTATAATTTTAAAATTTGATCTAAAAATCAGATTTAGGTTATGACTTTTAGAATATTTTTTTTTAAATAATATTATTTAAATATTTTTTTTTAAATCAATAATTTTTTTTTAGGTTTTTCATGTTGACATAATTGAGGCACAACCTAGATTTCTAATCACATTAACTAGGTCAGCTTCTTAGTTTATTTATTTTTTAACCCGAATCAATTTAAATCACAAGGCAACTAGGTTTTGAGAGGGCCCATTAATCGGTCCAATTTCACAGCTATGCTCATGGGTGGAAGTATCGAAGCTTTGCGTTTTATGTGGAGCAGAAAGAATTCGTCAAACAGAGCATTCCTTTTGAAGTCAAATCCACACCTTCTTCTTCTTCTTTATATCTCCAGCGACGCATGGCGTGTTCCATTAAAGAGCTCTGTCGACTCCTTTCATAGAAGGTGGATCATATCCACACGGAAGAAGAATCAAGAAGCTTCTCAGTTTTATGTTTAATATATAAACAAAATAACAGCAGAAACCCTAGTTTTGTCCAAAACAAGTGTATTTTACAGGTTTGTTCAGAAATAGAGTTTAATTTTAATTAATATTTAAATCACCAAAAATACTTTCTACTTAAAAAAATTATGGGCACCCGGAATGGCGGATTCAATGGAAAGTAGAAGCCAAACTCACAATCTATCCAAGCTCTGCACAGCTATAATTCACGGTAAAAATAATTTTTTTACATGCGTGTTAATTTGTGTACACATATAATTAATTAATCATTCACAGTAAAATTAGATTTTCCAAAGTAAAAAAAATAATAATGATAAAGAAAAAATAAAAAAATTATTGTATTATTAAAAAAATTAATATATATTAACGTTGATTGAATACCAGAACAGAGATAAAAGAAAATATTATAAATGAAAAAAATAATTTCTAAATAATTAAAATTACATCATAAAAAAATATTTTAAAAGACAACTAAAACTATGTTTGTTTCTCAATATTTACTTTTTGAGAAACTACTTTCTAATTTTTTTTTGTTTATTTATTATTAGAAAAGTTGATTAATAAAAAATATTTTTTATTCAATGGAAAATTTAATTTGATTTTCAGAAAATTATTTTTCTAAAAACATTCAAGTGAAAAATACTTTCTAAAAATTGTGAAAAATTTAAAAATATCATATTATTTGTTGATTATATCAAATTTAGTCCTCAAACTTTTAATTGCTATATATATTTTATTTTGAATATTTATTTTTTAATTTCATAACTTAAAATTTAATTTTTATATTAACTCTAATTCTCATTTTTATAATTATTATTTACTTTTTTCTTATTATTTTTTTATTAAAATTTTTTTATCTATCAAATTTGATTCTTATTCTTTTAATTGTTACTTATTTCATTTTAAATAATTCATAAAATATTAATTACTATTATTTTAATATTTTAATATTTTTATTTTTTAAATTTGATCTCTATTATTTTGATTATTATTTATTTTATTTTAAAATAATATATGAAATTATATATTTTTTTAATTTTAATTTTTTTTTAATTTTTAATTTGTAAGATTTTTTTCTTATTATTTTAATAAATTTTAATAAATTAAATATTAATAAGTTATTTTTTAGTTTATTTTTTATGATATAATTAAATAATAAAAAGTATTTTTTTAACTTATTTAAAAGAAAATTAATCTGGAGTAAACAAAAGAAGTAATAGTCATAACGCGATTCCGCGTGGTTGTATCGCGTCACGAAAAGTCAAATGAGGTGAGATGATGTTAAAGGCAGCGCCAGCGCCAGCACCAGCACCGTCGTCGCCCCTGTTGGTCCTATCCATGCCTCTGCCTTGCCATTTTATTATTTGGTGAATTCCTAATTGCTAATTTCTCCCTCGCCAATAGATTAGTACACATCTCCATTAATAAACCTGAAATATCCATAAAAAACACCTAATAACAACCATAATGTACAGTTACATGCTTGTAAATTGTTCCAATTGCCAGATTCCGCTCCAGCTACCGCCGGGTGCCGAATCCATCCGCTGTGTTGTCTGTCAAGCTGTAACTCACATCGCTGTCCACTCTCGCCATGCTCCTCCACCATCAAACCCCACCACTCCTCCTCCTCCTTCGACGCTCGCACCACCGTCCCCCTACAACCACGCGCCACCGGGCCCTCCACCAAACCAACACGGAAGAAAAAAGGCAGTTATTGTTGGGATTTCGTACAAGTACTCGAGGCACGAGTTAAAGGGGTGTATCAATGATGCAAAGTGCATGCGTCATCTTTTGATGACCAAGTTCCAGTTCCCTCAAGATTCTATTCTCATGTTAACTGGTATGTGTTACGGTTCATTTCAGTGCTGAATCTTTTTTTTATAAAAAAAAGGGTTTTATCTTTTGAATCTTAATGTGGATTATTCAGCTGCAGATCTAAAAAGATCCTTTTTTTATTCTCTTTTTCAAAGATGGGTGCTTAAAAGTTAGAAAGGGTTTTTGTTTTTGTTGATAAAAGAGAGACCCTCTTGGTTGAAGAGTGATTTTTTTGTGATGTCTTGGATTTTGACTGATAAAAGTTTGGGTTCTTAATAATGTTTTAGTAGGGGTTGGTGTTATTCAAATGATAATTTTTACATATCGAAATGTGCTTTATTAGTAATGATGCTGTATAATTGTAGATTTTGTTTTAATGGAATTAACTTTGGGGTTTTTAAAGATGAAGTTTGCTAGTGCTGTTTAAGCTTTTGCGATGAAGCTATGTTCAATTCAATAGCAAGTTGACGAAGTTCTGAATGAGTTTCTCGTTGTAGGAAATGTTAGTAACTATTGTTACTCTCTGGAACTTTTAAGTTGGAAGTATTGCTCTCTCTAAAGCCGGGGGAGTTGACTTTGCTATCTGGCTTATGCTTGTAATCCATCTACTTCGATTCCTTATTCCATTTTGCGATGGCTGGAAAAATATAGCAATTGTTGTAAATGTTTCCACCTTTTGAATTTGATTTCCCACCAGACCCCGTAGGAGTGTAGCAACTGATGCTATCATTCATTGCTTAGAAGGAATCAGATTTGGATATTAATAATAACCATTTCAAGTATAGATAAGATTCTTAAGTTTCTTCCCTTTTCTTTTCAACAGAAGTTTTCTTATGATTTATTTGTTTGTATATCATTTTCCCAAAGTGAGTTTTTGTCCTTGTACAGCGTTTTATTAAAGACTGGTGGCATATTGAAGTTACTATCTAGCTGCGGTCACTGGTTTTGCCTTTTGTTGATATCGTTTGTTTTGGAATTGCTCTTGCCTTTTATTTTGCAGTACAAATGAAGTTTTATATTTATCTCATTGCTATGATATTTAGTTGTTTGCATAGCCATTAGGCAGAGTAAATTCTTGGTTTAGGTTTTGTTGGACATGTCCAGTATTAATCCTTGTCTGGAATTTGAAGTGCAGAAGAAGAAACTGACCTCTACAGAATTCCCAACAAACAAAACATGAGAATGGCATTATTTTGGCTTGTACAAGGTTGTCAACCTGGAGATTCCTTGCTTTTTCACTATTCTGGACATGGTTCAAGGCAAAGAAATTATAATGGTGATGAGGTTGATGGATATGATGAAACTCTATGTCCACTTGACTTTGAAACTCAAGGTATGATAGTTGATGATGAAATCAATGCAACGATTGTCAGACCTCTTCCTCATGGTGTTAGGCTTCACGCAATAATTGATGCTTGCCACAGTGGCACTGTATTGGATCTACACTTCCTTTGCAGAATGGACAGGTTAGTTGTCAGAACATTCTTAGATTTTGATTAAATTTCTCTGCTCAGTTGTTTGTGACAAGTGAGCTCTACATTGAAACATCATTGACCAAAAAACTTTTCATATTTTGAACATTAACTACATAGACTTCTTTTTTGTGCTATGTCATGTTCAACCAATTGTTTTTATTTAAAACATTTTTCCACGGTAGAACTTCTTATAGTTAGAGAAGGAGTCCAAATGCGATATTTGACATTTGTTTTGGTATATCTACCCAATTTAAATGCAATGATCTTGATTTTGCTTAAGTTATTGCTGAAAGGACCTAGAGTATTGATATGTGAACCTCAATTTTTTGATTCCTAAGTAAGTTATCTCATACTTCTTGAATTGAAGATAATTATATAGATATAAGCATGTGTGAAATACAGGTTTGGTTTTCCATCTTTTGTGTATACAAATTACCACCACAGACAAGCTTCTTGTTTCCTTTGTGTTTTACAATATTGTCCTTGATGTTTTAATATATCCTATGTTCTGATTATGTCTTACCTCTTGAAAATAGGAACGGGCAGTATGTATGGGAGGACCATCGTCCACGATCAGGTATATGGAAAGGGACAAATGGTGGAGATGTCATTTCTTTAAGTGGTTGTGATGACAATCAAACCTCTGCTGATACATCTGTAAGTTTCATGAAAGGAAAAAAGAAAAGGTTATGAGAGATTAGTGAAATTTTATATTTGCAAGGCATTTTAAGACCTGGCTTTCAAAAACTCAATTTTGTTATTGCACAGGCTTTGTCAAAGATCACTTCGACAGGTGCAATGACCTTTTGCTTCATCCAAGCCATTGAGCGTGGACATGGCACTACGTATGGGAGCATTCTAAACTCAATGCGTACCACTATTCGAAATACTGGCAATAACCTTGGCGGGGGGGATGTTGTGACATCTCTCATCGGCATGCTCTTGACAGGAGGCAGTGGTGGTGGTGGGCTGAGACAGGTTGGGCTTTCACAATTTTTGCATTAATCTACTTTTGATGTTATGAGTACCAATACTGATCAATATTGAAGGCATAGGCTAGCTTGCCTTGAGATCCCCAGATTTTCTCTATTCCCTTTCACAGGGGGACTGTACTCCAAATTTACTTCATAGGCATTACCTTTTGTGCGATTCATGTTATCCATGATATGTTGAATTTCATCTATATGGTTGGGAACTGAATGGGTGATCTTTCCATAAAACATGGGCGTGGGGTGCTGTTAATAGGATTTGACATTTCAAAATATAGTTATGCATTTCAAACTGATGTTTGGTTTGATCTGCATCTACTCACACAAAGATCAACATTTAGTCACTTTCTCATGCATTAAGATCAACCAGGCTTGTAAATGAAGGAACTTGTTTAAACTTTCAACCTGTTAAAATGATGAGAAGTGAATTAACATTCCCACTGATTTCACATCTTCAAACTATTAAAGCTTTAAGCAAATTATTGATAAAAAAGAAATAAGATGCAAGTGAAGTTTTTATGAGTCAACATCAACTTCACTGATAGCTGCTAGGAAAGGTTCAGTACATTATGTTGTGTTTGGATTGCGAGGAAATCTCCTCCAACTATTTTTTGGGAAAAATCTTATTAACAAGTCACTCATTCGCATAAGTTCATATCTGATGCATGTGAAATCCTGTGATTTATAAAAGCACTTATTTTTTTTTATCATATTGATGTTTTGTTGTGTTCTCTTTGTTGACAGGAGCCGCAGCTAACTTCTTGCCAGCCTTTTGATGTTTATACAAGACCGTTTTCTCTTTAAAGTTCTTTCAATCTAAAGGGAGGGGTCTTTCTCTTGCTCTTGTAATTTGTTTGCTGAAAACATAGTGGAGATATTGTTTGCGCTTGGAGAACAAGGTTTATGTCTGACACTCCATTCTGTTACATATATATATATAGCTTGGTGCTGTTAATGCATATTCCTTATATATATTTGTTATTATATTAATTTTTTTTTATGATTTTTATGTAAGGTCAAGTGATTAACCAAATTGCGCAATTCATATACAAAGAGGATGCCTTTATAAGTTATCAAAAAAGAAAAAGAAAAAATAGTAAGAGTATACTTTTATAAAACATATAACCGGGATGATGGACGTATGTTCTTCCCCTTGAAGCTTTGGAGCATATCAATTATCAGACGGACTATTATACAGGAAAGAAGACTTCGTGGGAAAAGAATTTCGAAAAACACCATCAGTTGAATGCAAGTATAGGCAATTTACTTAAACTCGCTAGTTCAGGCTGCAAAAGTGAAGGTGTCAATACAGTGCTGCCCTTGAGTTTATTAAGGTTGAAGGAAGAAGATGAGCTCCCAGGTAACCTTCAATAAGAAGTTTGGAGTTCTCTGCGACGAAATGTCATCCTGTCAACAGCCAGCTACTGCCGATATCAAGGCCATGGCTACCAGTTGCTGGACTGGACTGGACTCTTCACCACATCATTTACCAGAATATGAATGTGGAGGGATGTAAGAAGGAAAGCTGTGATATATGGCAGTTGTCTGGGCCAAGCTTGCGTTGCTTTTACTGTTCAAGGGAATAAATAATATCCTCGAAGGCCCTTTCCATTCTCTCTGTTTTCCTAGGAGCCAAGCCAATCACAACCATCAAAGGGTTGCATAAAAGATTCCAAATGATACTTTAAAGATTCCCCTGGACTTATCCGTCAAGACATTTGCTTTGCAGATTCCCGTGCAAACACTTGGATCCATATCAAAAGCCAATAAAACCACTAATCAATAGTGCTAAAACACATGAAGACCAAGAACGCAGCTCTTCCTCATCCCTAAATTCCACCACCCAGCCCCTCACGAACTTGTTTGGTTACCTTGGTATCATGGAGTTGTACCGTGTTCTGTTCATTGTTTTGAGTGCGTTTTATATTTTTAAAATTTTTATTTAAAATAATTTTTTTATATTTTCAAATCATTTTAGCATGTTAATATTAAAAATAATTTTAAAAACATATAAAAAAATTCATTTTAATACATTTATAAATAAAAAATATTTTAACCCACCACCACCACCATCCCTAACAGATTTACATAAATCTTACACTTCCAATAACACATCACATATGCCAATTCAACAGACAAATCAATCATAGAAACAAGAGACAAAAATCTCACAATGGAAAGCATGGCTAGAACCATGAAACAAGCACAAAATAGATGCCTGCCAAAGAATCAAGACATAAAAATTCAGACGCTCAATTGAACCTTTCATATTCAAGGTGAATATTTGAATAATATTAGGACTCGTAGAAGGAAATCCCATATATAAATCTCCCACCCCACCCCCATGGAAAAATACTTATGAAAATTGACAAGTAACCTAGAAGCACTAGACATGATTTTTTTTTTAATCTTTTTTTTTCCTAAAAAGATACAATGAGCATCGCTATCTAAATAAACTTTTCTAGTATCCTTGACCTGTTAGGAGGTGGAGGCCGGAAATCTTCAAAACGCAAATTGAAGGCGTTGCGAATCTCATTTAAGACACCTTGTCCTTTCTCTGCTTTGATCATCTCCAAAACACTTCCAAGAACGTCCCCTGCAAGCCCAAACTTAAGAAGGCTACCCGGCTCCTCTCCACCTTCAAGCAACAACCGCCCAATCTCTTCTAGTGGAACAACATTTTCTACAACAACTCTGCCCAAGATCTGTCCAAGAAATTCTGGTGCTTTGGGGGCATCAGTTACAGCATCCTCCAAGGTAGTCAGAACTGATTCAAACCTGGCCACACAGTATAAAAAAAAATGACATTGTAGACAAGAGAATTAAACTCAATCAAACAGAATAAATTGCTCCTACCCTTTGACGAGCTGATTTGAATCCAAAATGCAATCCTGTGATCTTGTAAGACTGGCAAGAAGCTTAGCCAAAAAATCTCTATCCGGTTTGTTCCTTTCAAATGAGTCTGTGACCCAGATAGAGATCATTGAAGGGTGGAAACTTGGGGAATTCAAATCTTTTATGCATAGAGCAACTTCTTTCTCATCCCTGGCACTGAAAGGAGAGAATTTCAATCAATATATGAGAAAATCTACACACACAGTTTTACGCTATATTTACACTTGACTCATGAAACCCAACAGTGACCGGGGAAGAAACTCGCCAGATACATATATTATATTGAAATTACACAAAATAACTTTGTCAAATCCCAGCTCTTACAGGATCAACATCACAATCTTATTATCGACAAGGACACAATGAAGCTAAACTGAGTTAAGATTTCCACTGAAGTGAATGTGACTCCTTCACAGCTTACCACACTCATATCCTGTCTTAGATTGGGATTTCATCCTCAAGCATTGCTTTGCTTGTGGTTTCCTAAGACGTACAACGTCGGTTAAACACAAATGTCTTCAGGAAAACATTTTGTTTTTCTCATATACCCGTCTTGCGAATGCAATAAAACCCAAAACTAACTCCCAAATGGACCAAGTATAAACGAAACAAAGCATCCTTTTCCACTACCCATCCATTTCTATCACAGACTACTATTACCATCACTCCAGTTTGGTAATAGCTATCTATTTAGTACCCTGTTGATACAACCTGAACAAGAGGTTCTCTTATTCACAGAATAATGAGCTAAAATTCAGAGAAAACAAATGTGCGCAAAAGAAATCAGAGACAATAGTCTCCCTCTCCAAAATGAAAATACTGCCATATCATAGGAAACAAGATTGTATTCAACAGAAGCAACCACCAAACTTGCATGTATCTGTGCCTGTTTTTGTATGATACCATACTATGATACATCCTAGTAGAAAAGACATTGTGAGACACAGTACTGAAGTTTGTGAAATATATTAAAATTGGACCAAACCTACAATTAACTTCAATACTATTCGATCATGATTCTTCTTAGAAAAACTGAAACCAATAATATTGAGATGAATGAGCAAAACACATGCATGACACGAAATTGTACCTGTAAAATTCTTTTATTGTGACCATGGACATAGCTCGCAGTTGTTCTTCAGGCCACATCTTTCCTGTTGGAATGCTCTGTGCAAAAGATGGCCCTTGTGTATTTGTTAGTGATGATGATCCCAATGGCCTATCAAAACCACGATCTAGATTCCTCAGGTCCCTGTTAACATAATTCATATTTCGTTCCTGACCACTCATTTGATCATAAGCAGGTGGAACTGCATATCTGTCAGGAGAATATCTTGGAATGAGATCTTCCCTTGGGCTATAATTTGATCGTTCTGAAATGGCACTAACACCATTCAAACCAGCTGCCATTCTTCTCGAGTCACTTGGGCTTGGAGAAATCTCAGCTACAGGAGCACCTGTAATAGCAGGTGTTCCTCTAATGGACATTCCTCTTGCAAGACCACCTTGGGGACCCAAAGTAATGGAATCATCACCAAGAGGTCTTTGAGGTAAGGGAACAGACACAGTCCTAGCCTCATAAGATTGTTTGTCCTCATGCCGAACATCCTGGTTGCCATGCCCACGAACCTGAGAAGGAAACCCTCGGAAACCACCCATATGAGCATTTGGAGAAGATAACATTGCTGACCCTCTCGGAACAAAATCCATAGGGCCCCTTCTTGGAGAAGAATTCATGCCAGGATTGCGAGCCAGCCTACTAGTTTGCAGCTGTCGTTCTTGAGCAGCATCTCTGTGCACTTCCTCAATCTTTTTCGGCCCTTCAACCTTCCTCCTCTGCTGCCATTTGTTTTTCCTCAAATCAATCGCATCCTTCAACATAAATCTAACCCTCGATGATAGTTCCATGTTGTTTGATAATTTTGCCATCATGTCAAAATATGCATCAATATGCACCTTAGCTCTGGGATGGTCAATCATCTCTCCAATAGTGCTCATTAGTTTACAAAGAGCCTCAACATCCTCCTCATCGGGATTCGGATATTCGCCCAGCAACTTTTTGATGCACTCATGCATTATTCTTTCAGTCAACATTCTTTTTTTATAGAGCTCGCCAATTAGTCTTATGTTACCAAGCATTCGTCTCCGTGCCTTGATTCTCTGTTCTTCTCTTTCCTCATCAGACTTTTTAATCTCCCCCTCTTCATCAGCTTTATTAGCTTCCTCTTGCTCTCGCTCCCCTCTCTCAAATTCCTCCTGGCACTTGTTCAGAAGTAACCTCTTGAAAGTCACCTTTTGATCATCTTCACTGAGTTCAGGCAACTCTGCTGCTAGATGAAAGCAGAAATTAGCATACATTTCACAGAAAGTGGGCTCCATTAAAGCTTTGTCAAAGATCTGTGAGATAACGCCGGTAAGTGTCACAACATTGTCAATGTTAACAGCTTTTACTTGCTCAAAAAGCTTCTCGAAATTCTGAGGAGTTAACTTGTTCAATATGCCTTTCAACCGTCTTTGCTTGGCTGCTTCCTCATCTGCCACTTTACCCACTTCATACTTTCTCTCAGCTTTATGCATCATCTGTAATGGAGTATGAGGAGAAGGAATCAATCCTTTATACACAGAACTAACAGAACGCTGCCATTTGTCAGCATCTGAGCCACCTCTTTGCATCCCTCCCTGCAGACCCGTTGATTGTACGGGTCCAGATAGAATCCCTCCTACATACTGTCCAGGACTCTGTGCTCGCGGGTTCCTCAGAACACCATGGTTGCCTCCTGCAACAGGTCGAAAACTGGCATTAGGTCCATAACCCATATCCAAGTGCAAATCCCTTCCCGGACCAAATGGACCAGGCTGTTTACTCCATCGGCCATCATCAACCATACCACTCCCACGTCGGTCTGTTCGAGATCCACTATTAGACCTGTCCATAACTCTTGCAGGACTGGGGTATGAATCAAGATCAGCAGGATGAGAAACGTTGACACTCAAGGCCTCTGCTATATCAGATGTAATTACAAAACCTTCAGGAAGATTAGAAAATTGCTCAGAAAATTTAAGGAGGAAATCTCTCGAATATTTTTTGGCTGTATTCGCATTCCCATCTGAATCATGTTGTCCCAATCCTCCACATGATAGTTCCCCATCACTATCCAGTTTCGGTGTAGACATGTCAGCAGCATCTTCCCAATCATCTGGCTCGGCTTTATTTTTCTCACTTGCTACAGAGTCAACCTGCAGGGCATCCGCAGGTGTCTGATTCAGAATAGGGCCGGTGCTTTCTGTGACTTCTGAAGATATGGCATTTTGTTTCTTTTCATCGGGGCCCTTATATGCCCCATAAAGATCAGAAGTAGTCCCAGCAAGATCTGCTTTCAGAAGAAATTCTCTCCTCTTCTTCTTAAATCTTCCAGAGGTACTCTTTGATAAAGAGGGCTCAGTGGGTTTTTCTTTGGAACTAGATATTGCATGGGGGACTGTTCCACTGCCGGGGTTTTCCGCGCATTCCACTATGTGTTTTGCAGTTGCCTCAGAAAGATCAGATCCTGGAAGAGAATCCTGCTGACCTGATACACTTGATTTTGTAACAGAAGTTTCTTTATTACCCATGCTATCACCGTGCCTCAAAGATGCATCTGAAGGCTTTCTATCATCAGCAGAATCCAAATTTCTGGATGCAGAGACATCCGCACTATCTGATACCGTGTCATTTTCTGCGTGGTGAGTCACAAGTTTCACCAGCCCCTCCTGTGCAGTTTCTGAGGCTGGGACCTCATTGCCAACAGATATCCCTGTCAAATCAGATACCTCTTTATCTTGCTTGACAAGGTCTGCAAATTTTGAATTAACTGGTGCTGGAGACATGCTGTAATCTTGTTTGAGACATTCAGACAGTGATTTCTGCCCTTTCTCTTCTGTGGTTGGAATTTCACACTTTAGTTTTTCCTGTGAGGAGGAACCATCCAGCATAGCTTGTGGAGTGGTGTGTGGGGTTTTAGCAACTCCAGCAACAAGAACCTGAGCTGAAACAGTATTGAAACCATCTCCAGCATTCTCAACCTTCATTTCAGAATCATCAGTATTCAAAGCAGAAGTTGTTGACACTGGTTCCGTGATTGATTTTGTCGAAGCATCACTGTTTGCTGGTGATGGGGAAGGAGCTGTATTAGTTTCTGCAGTTTCAGAAACTCCACTGCCATAACATGCACCAAGTTCCACAGTGCGAGAAGACAAGCTTGTGGACAAGGTAGCCTGTCCACCAATCTATATATATAAAAAAGCAAATGAAAAAATAGAACCAACTTATCAAAAATAATTGCATGATGATTAATGGAATATATAATCTTGAATGCAGCGTATTAGTACCTGACGCTGAGGCTCGACATTTCCTTTCTTGCCCGGTTTATTCTGAATACTTGGAGCTTCTTTTTTTCGGTCTTCAGCATTGGATACAACTGGTGTTGCCTCCACAGAATTAGCTGGCAAAGTACATGCTGCACCATCAACAGCAACCTCTGCAAGCTGTTTTGCTGCCACTGGAGGTGACTTGACCAGCGATTCACCAACAGGTTTTGCCGGCTGTAAAGAGCTTTCTGATGAAGTCTCTGAATCTCCTTGAGAAGGAGATGGGCTAGCTTCCCCAGATGAGCTTGAGGATTTGTGGGAACCGCCCTTTTCAACAGGAGAGATCTTTGGCAAAGATGGCTCCACAGCTTTCTCTCCAATAGAACCAACAGGTGGTTTAATGGTCACTTGTACTACTCCAGATGGAGTTGAGGAGATTGCATTAAGTGCATCACTGGCATGTTCTGATTTATGTGGTTCTGCAACACCATGAATTGCAATCCCAGACTTACTAGCTGGAAGGGAATTAAGAGCAGCTGCATTGATATACGGAACATTTTGAGGCCCCTGGCTAACTGGATAACTAAACCTAGGTGGTGGCTGAGAATTTGGTGCTATTTGGCCACCGGTTAATGGTAGAGAGCTTGGAGTTTGAAAAAACAAATTATTTGTATTGTATGAACTAGGATAATAGTTAATTGGACGTGAAGGTGTAAATGATGGAATTGGCTGGGGCTGGGGAGCATTGAGATGAGACCTTAGACCTGATGGTCCAGTGTCTGGATATGGATCTGCCCGTTTATCAAGCCTCAGCTCTTCATGTGTCTTTGGATCAGTAATCTTGACAGATGTTTTACGCTGACCACCAAATTTACCACCCTGTTGTGGAGAATATTGTGAGGCAATGTTCATTCCTAAGCTGCCTAACTGAGGAGGTATCTGAGGACCCATTGTGGTTGTAAAACTCAAGTTTTGCCCTTGACGCATCATTCCCTGAGGCTGCATCGGATGATGTTGGATACCTTGAATAAACACTGGCTGTTGCACTTGAGGAGCATTGCCCATCTGCAATGGCACTTGAATTGGCATCTGAAGAGAAGTTGGTGGGACACCCTGGGACTGAATTTGTGGGCCTCGACCACCAAACTGCACAGAGACCTGTGGCTGCAGATATTGCATTTGCATTGAAGTCATAGGAACTGGAAGAACAGAAGGCTTCTGTGAGTGGCTCGCAGATGGTGCAGGTGAGACTTGTGTCTCCTTTTTGGCCTTGGGAAGTGGATGAACCTCCCCAGAGATAGTTTGTTCTGCTGCGCTCACTTCCTTCCTCTGAAATTGCTGCTTAGGAGCAGGAGTGGGTAATGAAGGAGCAGGCCTAAATGTATCTTGGCGTGCCTGCACATTGAAAGTATGGCATGACTGCTTTGTTTATAGACATAATGGCTATATATCTCTAGCAAAATATCAAGACAAGATACAGCTGTCAAGATTCGATAACTCAAGCAAACATACGCCATACTACATTCAAAACCCTTAAACTTTACGGAAAAGAGAGAAATAAAACACACATCTTTATGTCGATTGTTAAGACAATATTGTGCATAGTTGAATACTGTGTCCAAGAACATTGCAAGAAAATTGAAGGGCTAGCAAGAGAACATTGCTTGGTTGGGAGGGAACACGCATACCTGGTCACGTTTCTGCTCATCCAAATTTGGGGGAGCTGAGCTTGTTCGAGCAGGAA